TGTGTGTGTGTGTGTGTGTGTGTGTACGCATGCCAAATGGTAAACTAGCAGAACTCGCATATGTAGGATTCCTCAGGAATCCACCTTTGTGGAGTCATACAGAATAACCTCGCTTATTTAATAAAAGTCACCCCAATTGCTTGATCTCTAAATTTTTTTGTTAACCACTGAAAGTCAACCTTTTGTTTTATTACAGAAATTGAAGCCAAAGAAGCCTGTGACTGGCTGAGGGCTGCTGGTTTCCCCCAATATGCTCAGTTATTTGAAGGTACAGTATGATCCATACATCTGATATTAAATCCAACTGGAATCCCTTTAAAAAAAAAAAAAAAAGAAAAGGAAAAAGAAAAAAAAAAAACACTTTCAGAGCCTAGTACCTCTGACCACACTTATACTGTAAGCACAGCCATGTTGTAACCAGTTCATACAAATTTAATCTGATCCAGTTTAACAAACAAAACATGCAGCTGAGTTGTGTGCATGGAAACTATATCTTAAATTAATGTTTGAGCAGCAATGTAAAGTGCCTTTTTTTAAAAAAAAAAAGATGGGGGGCGAGTGGGAAGGAGCAAATATGAGTAATAGGCTCTGGTAGCAGAGATTGCAATTCAGGTTGAATTTCAGTTTCCCTACTTTGAAAAAGTTCTGAGCTATTAAAATCTCCTTCCTTTTTTGGCTGAAATTTTCCACGTTTCGTTTTTTTACTCCTAGCAGTCCCTCAAGCTCTCTCTCCACCCTCCCAGAAATGCTTGAACATAGTTGTTTGAACCACTTTTTTAAGGGGGGGGAAATACTCTTCCAATCAGAAATGTTTCAAATAGGTTATAAGTTTAGTCTCAGCTTGTTCTCCTAGTGTTATTGGGCTATAAGGATTATGCTAAGTTTGGAAAAAATGATTGTCATTTTGAAGTTATAAACATTTAAAAACAGAGCAGTTTTATGTGTGCACGTTAGAAGTATGCTTTTTAATATTCATCAGTCGAAACTTTTAATTTAGGATAGCTGGGTTGAGGGGACGTGAAACCAAATAGCTATAGATCAAGGAATTTACAAACATCACTGGCAACACTTCCTTTCTTTAAAACAGATCAGCAAACAAATCAGTGATTGCAACATTAAGATTGAGAAATCAAATAGTCAAAGCTAAGCTTGGAAGTCATATGCCTTAAAATGTGGTGTCTCATGATATCCTTTGTCAGACTGAAATATATAGTAGATATAAACTAGCATTTTATATGCAACCTTAGATTTTGTGTAGATACTCAGTGTACCATACTGTATAATACTCTCTGAATTAGCCTGAGGATGGAATGCAGTGTTCTGACTTCGCTTGATATTTAAATCTCAATAAAAGAATCCAAGAAAAACATTGCCAGTGGAACTAGCAGGCTCCTTGATCTGGGAGGGTAGATCTCAAAATCTGGGCTGTCAAACTTTAATCATACTTTTAAACTGGAGAACTGACTTTACTCAGGTGTTGCATGTTTTGTTGATCTCATTAAAGTTTAAGCAGAGTGTCCCAGGCCAATGGGGTCTGCGGGAAGCGGCGTGGGCTGAGGGATGTGCTGGCTGCTGCTTCCCGCCGCCCCCATTGGCCTGGAGCGGTGAACCGCGGTCAGTGGGAGCCAGGATCGGCCGAACCTGCGGACGCGGCAGGTAAACAAACCGGCCCGGCTTGCCAGGGTGCTTACCCTGGTGGGCCGCAGGCCAAAGGTTGCCGATCCCTGGTCTAGGTTGTGTGTAGTGGGCAGGTCCTTACCATAGACAAGATTTTTGTCAGAAATTCCAGTGTTATAAATACATGTAGGCAGTATTGCCATCTCGTAACTTTATCATGACTCTAGCAATTTTGGTGGTTTTTTTTTTTTTTTTGACAAAGAATTTAGACTGTACTTGCCATCACATTTCAGTTTAAGTTAAATAAAACTAAGAACCTTGGTTTTAATGCAACCTAATAGCCTAGTCTTGTAAACACCGAGGCCCCAGTCCAGCAAACACTTATGCACATGAGCAGAGCTGTCCCTTGGGTATGTCGAATCGGGGTGACCGCCCCAGGCCCCACGCTCTGGGGGGCCCTGCTCTTCGATAAAATCATGAGGCGGTGAGCCGGGTGGGCGAGTGGGGTTAGGAGGCGAGCACCAGGCGGGGGGGGGGAAGGAGCCGCCACCCTACCAGAACCTCCCTCTCCCCCCAGCACCTCCTGCCCGCTTCCAGGCCCCGCCGATCAGCGCCTTCCCCTCCCTCTCAGCGCCTGCCATGGATCAGATGTTTCACGGTGTCAGGAGGTTCTGTGGAGGGAGGGGAGAGGAGCAAAAGTGCAGCATGCTTGTGTGGGACAGGCGTGGAAGGAAGCAGAATGGGGCCTTGAGAAGGGGTGGGGTGGGGGCGGGGACTGGGGGAAGCACCCCCTGGCAGATTAGAAACTTGGCACCTATGTCCCGGGTACTGCACCCCCTCTAGGGATGGCCCTGGATGTGAGTAATCCCATTGAGGGCATGTGTGTAAAATTGCGCATATGTAATTGCTTGGAGGATTGGGCCCTTAGTCATTTGCATGTGTGTATATTTATATTTAGTTTTATCTAGCTTAAACTGAAATGTGATGGCAAGTACTGTTTAACTTCTTTGCAGATGTTCATATTATGATCCTTGTCAAAAGATTATAAGTAGGGTTGGCAGAATTTGATTTTTTCAATTTTTTTTTTAAATAATTTCAGCAAATATCAGTGTTTATTTTTAAGCTTTCTATTTTTAAGCTTTCAATTTTTCTTTTTTTAATTTTCACAGTTGCAGGAAATTATTGGGGGAGGTCATGCAATGGAAGGGTCAGACAATTATTTAATGACTGTTGAAATGAATGAGTTGTTGAGAAGAAAAAAGTTAAAGCTTATAGCCATTAAAACATGTGATTAAGACAATTTGTATCAAAATATACAAAGTAAATAGCCTTAAATCAAACTCCTAAGTTCTCAAGCAGCATTTTTCTTATTTTGCCTAACTGTAAATCTCGATTAATATTGATGGATGTATTTTTTTCATTGCTTTTTGTGTGAACGATGAAACTGATGTTTAACAATCTTTACTGATAAAAATCTAAACCCTCCAAGCTTAATTATAAATACTTTGTATTCACAGACATGCAGTTTCCTATCGACATCAAAACTGTGAGGAAAGATCATGAATTTTTAGATCGAGATGCTATTGATTCTCTGTACAGGTAAATATTATTAATTTGACGTTTCCCCCAGCCTAGCACACATGAAAATTATGCTTATAATGTTTAGCTTTTAACATACTCCTTTTGAGGGTATGTTGTTTTTCTTTGTTTAACAGATGACTTGTCTAACATCCCAATTCAGGAAAGCTCTTAAGCAAATGCTTAAGTCCCATTGAAACCAATGGCCTTGCATACTTAAAAGTTAAGTAGGTGCTTAAGTGCTTGCCTGAATGAATTTCTCTATAGCAAAGCTATTTTCTCTGTGTACAGAGTGAGATGGAATACTACCCTGGCTATCACTTAATCCATTCACCATCAGAATCGCATTAGAATGATGTCACTTTTTTTATTTACTGGAACTATATCTCAGCATTTCACATTGATGTCAAAGCAATTACTTACGTGCTTAAGTGCTTTGCTGGTTTGGGGCCTTATTGATTCTGCAGTTCCACCAAAATGATTTAAAAAAAAAAAAAACACGGAGAAAGTCCTAGTGATCTACTTTAGTCCCATCGGTTTTTTTCTTATGTTTTAAAACATTGATTTGACCAAGATTTTTTTTTTCTTTGCCAGAGTCTTACATTAATGTAGCATCCTTCACAATCACCAAAGGTTTCTTAAGCTTTTATTAATGATTGGTTATAGTCCTCTCTTCGGACTTGGCTAGGGGAGGACTCTAGCTGTAGACAACATCATGTAACTGCAGAACTGGGTTGGTGGTTTGAGGGCATTTCAGGAACCCACAGCAGAAAGCCATTTATTACTGGCAGAAGTTCAGACTGTTTTTAAGAGTTCAAGAGCAGAATGTCTGTCTGCTTTTATTCAAGAAAATAATTTGGGTTAAGGTCTTCAGTCCTTTTTTTCCTTTCCCCTAGACGGTTAAATACACTGAACAAGTGTGCAGCAATGAAAGTGGAAATAAGTCGTCAGAGAAAACGGGTATGTCTTAAAATTTTCATTTCATAACTTAGCCAAATAGAGCATTTAAAAAATAGCATAACTTGGCACACATATCATTGCCTGGTGAGATGAAAGTTTTACTCATAGATGTTTAATGTTTGAGTTGACAAATGGACTGCACAGGGGCCCTGACTCAACATGTGCTTAGGTGCTGCCCTGACTAGGGAGACTCTTCTGAGTCAGGGCCTGAAAATTTATGCTCAGAGGAGGGCTCTGTGCAAGCTTCCTGTATCTCAACTGATCTATAGGTGAGGTTCTGCAGTGGTGTTGTGTTGGGCCCAGGATATTAGAGAGACAAGGTTGGTGAGAGAGACAAGCTATTGAGCTTACACAAAGCTCTTATTCAGGCCTGAACTTCCTCTTCTGTCTCCAAACAATCCCCCAACTCATCAGAAGCAAGCTCCCCCCTAGACCAGGACACACCCACTCAAAGTGGCAACAGACCCTGCTAGAACAACAGATGCAAAACCTGTAGAAATAGCTCCATCGCTATGATGATCAACACCCCACACAACACACCTTTCAAGATCCATGGGTCTTGCACATGCTTAAAACAACATGGTGGTGTCCCTCATCCAGTGCACTAAGTGGCCCAATAACGACTATGTGGGTGAAATGACAGTCACTATGCTCTTGAATTAATTCACAAAGAAAAATGATAAAAGACACAAACACCAGATCACCTGTGAGTGAACACGTTTCACAAAGCGATCACTCTGTCTGACCTCTGTCCTCATTCTCAAAGGAGATCTGCAGAACGTTTTCGAAAGATGAGCCTGGGAGCTTAAATTCATAACTCTGCTAGACACTAAAAATCATGGACTTAAATAGAGACACTGGATTTGTGGCTTATTACAACAGTCTATAATCCACTAACTATCCATGCCCCCTTCTCCGTGACTGGAGAGGTGTTAATGGTCCCTTGAAATATGTGTTAACTACTTATGCTAAACAATCTGTTCCACCTTGTATTTAGCTGTAACACTGTGAATGTGTTTCCCAGACCTGAAGAAGAGCTCTGTGTAAGGCTATGTCTACACTACACATCTTTTAGCGACACATCTTTTGGCTGTGTCACACTGCGTGACTTGTAGTGGCACGGTTGTGGAATCTGCTGTTTGTCTCTCCTGCCGACAAAAAAAACTTCTACCCACAACGAGCGATGTTTGTGTTGTCGGCAGGAGAGTGCTCCTGCCTACAATGCGCTGTTCACACTGGTGCTTGTCACGGCAAAACTTTTGTCTTTTGGGGGCAACAGAGTTTAAACACCTGAAAGACAAAAGTTTTGTCGTTCAATTGCCAGTGTAGACATAGCCTAAGCTGAAAAGCTTGCATCTCTCATCAGTAGAAGTGGTCTAATAAATGATATTTGCTCACCCACCTTGTCTCTCCTCAAGTGAGAGGATAATTCATTCTCCATGGGCTTGTCCACAATAGGGAAAAGCCTAGGATTTCCTTGACTAGCTAACGGGATAAATCTACAGTTTTGCCACTCTGCACTAGGATTTTAAAGAGAGCTAATTATCGTGTTTAAAAAAACTCATACCATTTTCCGTAGCATGGACAAACCCTTTGAGACTGCCAATGCAGATGCCCATTATGAGAATGGGATTTTGATTAAGGAAGGTTTTGCTTCTCTTATGCTATTAGGTGAACAGTGAAAAGTTCCGTATATCGCTGTCAGTCACTTGAACCTATACACACTTGTTTTATTGCACTCAGTGTGCCCTTCCTTTGATTTGGATACATTTTTAACTTGTTTGTTGGCTACTGACACTGCCTTTTGTTTTCAGACAAATGAGTGGCTGGAGAGAATATAGACTGGGCACTGTGGATGTATTTTTCCAAAGCACTTAAGAGCACAAAACCCCTTGACAGTCAATGGGACTAGTGTGCCTAAGTCACTTAGCTAAAGGGTTGCCAACTTTCTACTTGCACAAAACTGAACACACTTGCCTTGCCCCCCTGCTCACTCCATCCCCCCTTCTCTCTGTTGCTCACTCTCCCCACCTTCACTCACTCGCTCATTTTCACTGGGCTGGCTCAAGGGGCTGCTGTGTGGGAGGGCAAGAGGGCTCCGGCTGAGGGTGTGGACACCGGGTTGGGGCCAGGGATGAGGGGTTTGGGGTGTAAGAGGGGGCTCTGAGTTAGGGAGTGGAGCCGAGGTGTTTGGAGTGTGGGAGGGGGCTCCGGGATGAGGCAGGAGGTTGGGGTGCAGGAGGATGCTCCAGGCTGGGGCCAAGGGGTTTGGAGGGTGGGAGGGGGATCAGGGCTGGGGCAGGGGGGTTGGGGCACGGGAGGGGGTTGGGGTGCAGTCTCTGGGCAGCACTTACCTCAAGCAGCTCCCAGAAGCAGCGGCATGTCGTCCCCCCCGTGGCTCCTACGCAGCGGCGCGGCCAGGTGGCTCTGTGCTCAGCCCCGTCCGCAAGCGCCGCTCCCATTAGCTGCAGTTCCCAGCCAATGGGAGCTGCAGGGATGGCACTTGGGGCGGGGACAGTGTACGGAGCCCCCGGTTGCTCCTGTGTGTAGAAGCCGCAGGGGGGATATGCTGGCTGCTTCTCGGGAGCCGCGCAGCACGGAGGCTAGCAGGGAGCCTGCCAACCCCACTGCGCAGCACCGCCAACCTGACAGTCAATGGCTTGGTCAGCAGTGGTGACTGGAGCCACCAGGATCCCTTTTTGACCGGGTGTTCCGGTAGGAAACCGGACACCTGGTCTCCCTATTTAGCTACTTCCAGAAATCCCACCCTGTGCCTCCCTGAAAGTATTTGATTTCTCTTTTAGAGCTGGTTGGAACACTTTGGACTAAATGAAATTTCATCAAAATATGCTATTTTGTTGAAACCAATATATTTTGTGGAAACGTCTTTTTTGAGAGAGTTTTTTTGGGGATAGAAGAGACAGCCAGACTTCCTTTTTCACTCTAGCCTGGTGGCTATGGTGCTGCCCTGGGATGTGAGAGATCCACATTTGAGTCCCGTCTCTGTCGGATTCAGAGACTTGACCCTGAACATCCAAGCCTGTGCTCTAACCACCACCTTGGAGACAGACAGACAGACACCCATCCCCTGCATGCACCTACCCCCCCAGCTACCTCCTTCCCTAATAAAAAAGCTCAGGTTTTGATCTGAAAAAACAACAGACAATTCAACACAATTTCACTTTCATGAAAATGTTCCAGGGGTTTTGGCTTTGTTCCGACGTTGAAAGAAACTAGATTTTGAAACCAAACTTTGAAAGTTGCCATGAAACAGATTTTTCATTATCCAGTCAGTTCTATTCTCTTTTAACAAAGCTTCCAGCATGCTTAGGTGCTGTCTCTCCCCAAACCCTCTCAATTAGCAAAACAAAGCTCATGCTGAAGGGCTTTAGACTGAATGTTGTTACAATGTAGAAATCTAAATTTAAAAGTACTGCAGTGACTCAAAAATAAGCATAAAAAGTTAAACCTCCTTTTTCGTTGCATCTTAGATATTTTAAAACTTGCTGGACTTTGCCCGTTGAACTGTACTTTCTTTACTTTAAGAGTGATGAATCTGAAGACGATGAGCCTTGTGCAATAAGTTACAAATGGGCTTATGAGAGGTGCAGTCAGAGATGGTCTCGCCTGGAGAGCGTAGAAGGTTTCCCTGAAAAAGAGTCTAGTGCATCAGTCCCAGACAGTCCAAGACTTAAGAGCACTGGTAGTGAGGAGATATCCTTTTCAGACCAAGGAGAGAAGCATGATGTGTCTTCAATTCACAGTACTAGCAGTGGGGACAGTGACATTATCAGCTTCCCTAAGACTTTTGAGGATGTTGAGACCAGCACTAGTTCTTCAAGGTGTTCATCAAGTAAACTGGCCTCTCCTGACTCTACTTTTAGTTGTTCTCCTTCTCCTAGTGAGTTCTTAAACATCATCAGTGAGGAGAAGCTTTTGGATAAGCCACCACAAAAAAAGGGGAAGAGCTTTCTAAAGAAAATGGAGAAACTGCGCATAAGGAGTTCCAGCGTAAAGAGAGCTGCTCAGTCAAAGGCCAAACCCACTATTGGTGAACCTGTTCTTCTGGAGGGACTGGACGAAGAGAAGCTGAAGAACCTTAATTCTGTAGATATTTGTGACCTATCTGACAGCCAGATGAAAAAGAATTCTTCCTATTCTCCCCACACTTGCAGCAGCAGCAGCCAGTCTGAAACCAGCAGCACAGTGAGCACTCCGAGTCCTGTTATCAAAGTCAGGAGCTACGTTAAACGGGGAGGCGTGTATGCGGAGGACTCCGACTCCAGCAAGCTCTCTCTGTGGAACGATGTATCTGAGCAAAACTTCAAAAATGAAATCAATCTGCATGCGAACCAAATGTTTCACGTACCACAAGGCCATAAGCCTGGGACTTTCCCCAAAGCACTTACAAACAGTTTCTTATCTCCAACAGACAACACTTCTGTGAACTGGAGAACTGGAAGCTTTCATGGATGTAGGCGGAACAGAATTAGAACTAGTTCTAAAGAGTCTGAGACCCCTCTGAGTCCTCTATCATTTATAGATAATAGGATGAGTATCTATGACAATGTGCCCAGCATTCCTGTTCATCTTCATAAGATGGAGACGCCGGAAGTTAGTGACGATGATGTTTTTTCAGAACTAGACAATGTTATGGAACATGTCAATGGGCTCAGAAAGTTGGTCAATCAGTGGACTGAGAAGTTCTCAGATGATGGAGACTCTGATTTTGCGAACGACTCAACCTCTCCGTGTCCATCTTCCCCTAAAGAAATCCACCTTGAGATAAAAAAGCATTCAGCGGAGAAATTGGCAGATCTACCAGCTGCTGATGGAAAACAGAACTGCAAGCATGGCAATGACCTTGATTCCCCAGAACTGGCATATATAACCGATTCAGAGATGGGATCATCATTATCACATTCCAACAGGTCAGCTTCATGTTTCTTTATAACCTTCCCCTCCTCCTTCTGCCCTACCTCCAAGAACTTCCCTGTCGTCCCCTCACTCCAAAACACAATCACCTTCTCAAAACAGTGAGAAATTTAAATCCATTTCAACTAGAGACAAACGTGAACCAACCAGATCCAAGTATTAGGCGCTATAGTATCACGGTGATGATAGCCACATAAACACTGAGATAAATCCAGTTCCAAATTTTGGGGCTCATTCCTCTCTCTGATTTGAACCTTTCACATTGGTGCAGTACCTCATAGCCTAGACCTTTTATGTAAAATGCAACCAAAATCTACTTGGAAACAGCAGGTCACTTTTGAAGTGATTGATTGATTTGATAGGACAAAATGTTCCATACGTGTTCCATTGCTTTAGGCAGAGACCTGACATAAGCAATAAGAACATTCCTTTAACCTAAATAATGTTTACTCCTTAGACATGAGAGGCAACACTGGTCTGCAGAGGAGACTGTAAACTTGGAAAGCCTTTCTGTACAAATTGATAACCAGTCAGCAGCCCACCTAAACCGAATACAGAAACTGGCTTTGTTGAAACTCACTGCTTTAATGGACAAATACTCTCCTTCCAGTAAACAGGGCTGGAACTGGTAAGTTGTTATGTTAACATATTCTACTTCAGGAAAAATGACAGTTGGCAAAAGCAGATGGCTCTTACCCTGCTCTGAACTGAGTGTGCACATCTGGCGTGAAATCCAGGTCCCACTGTCTCAATGCGAGTTTTGCTACTGATTTCAGTGGGGCCAGGATTTTACCCAGACTGTCACTCTTTCCTACAGTTTGGCATTATTGATAACTTAAATAACAGTCCAAGCTTCAGTCTTCGCTTTCTCCCGAAGCTTGCCCCTTCATAGGGCTTTTCTGCAAAAGAACTCCTGCGAGAAAAAAGGGAATTAGGATCTGGGACAGAGACCCACTCCAACCCCTTCTATCCTAGTTGTAGCTTAAATAAATAAGTCACCTGCCATTGTGATCAGCAATAACAATTCTGCATTTTTATGCAGGGTTCTAGCACCTGAACATAGGGACACAACAGAGGAACCTGCCACTCTTACAAGGATGGTAGTGTATCCTGCAAGAGTTTCAGCTTGAAATGAGGATTTCTTTATGGGAGCTGCACCCTGCTAATTTAAGGGACTTAAGACACGCAGCCTAGGTTGTTTCTGTATTTTTAAGTGTTGATTTCTTTGTGCTGCCCTGAGTGTAATAAGGCTGCAGCATTTGGAGAAGGAACAAAGGTGGCACATGACTTCCTAAATGTGCACAGCATAAAGGGGGTGGGGGTGGGGAAGATCCCCAGTGCCCCCTGCTCTAATCTGCCTGAATGGAAGGGCAGCTAATGGTTTGAATGTATTTATTTTTGTTTTCAGGACCGTTCCGAAGTTCATTAGAAAAATCAAAGCCCCTGACTATAAGGACAAAAATGTATTTGGGGTCCCATTACTGCTAAATGTTCAGCGAACAAGCCATCCACTTCCAAAGAGCATTATCCAGGCCATGGAGTACTTAAGAAGCCACTTTCTTGACCAGGTACAAATATAAAACAAACCTAAATATGACTTGAGTGATACTTCATTCCATGTATGTTTTTAACTTGGAGCCCCTAGAGAGCTGACTGCCAGTTTCTTTTGCTTTGTCAACCCTTTCAAGGACATTCTTTCCTCTCCAAGGCTTCTAACAGTGATGTCTGAACAGGCTTGAGCGGGCACCCTACAGGGAATAGCGATATTGTTCTCCTTTTGTGGATACCTTATTTCCACCCCAGTATAAATGTATCTGCCCTTCTTTGTTTATAGCACCTGCAGCTGTTCTGTTCACTTGGCAAATGTGGGCCAACTGCCTTCTCTTAGTGGTACTTTAGTGGTAAAAAGCAAAAACTAACACCTGTAGCACCCCTTGTCTCTGCTCTGTACAGTCTGAAAGCATCGCAACATCGGAATTCTCATTTCACATTTCTAAGAATTGAGCTGTAGCTTTTTATGGCATATAATCAGGATGTGATTTAACATCCTTTTTGTGCCTAAGTTACATTTATCCGCTGCTCTGAAGATATTTGCATTTGTAGATTAGTGCCCACAATTATGAGCCACATACTATATGCTGCGGTACCTCTGTAATAAGGATGGGGAAAGTTTATAAAGTTAGAAGTTTTCCATCCCTCTCCAACTGTTTGGATTCACAAATCTAGTTAGGGTTCATTAATCTTTTTCTCATATAACTTAAACCCATGGAGGGTTGTGGAGGTTTTGTTTTTGTTTTTAAAAAAAGATTCAGTTTACTTAGAAAACCATTTTACATGAGTCCTGGATTTGGGATAAAGTCTCTCTTCATTGAAAACTAAATTGGCTAAAGTGGGGAGCCGCCTTGTATGTCATTGTGTGCATATTAAAGGAAGATCTGTCAATACAGTGTTTAATTTGCAGATTTGTGTAGACCTATATAACCAAATATTATGCAAAATGAAAAAATGATCCAAATACATATTATGGGGTTAGTGTACAAATCTATATCTTGCAGTTAAAAATGGAATATATTTTCTGTAACAACGTCAAAACATGTCATTTCAATAGTATCACTTTGGTTCATTTGGCTTTGACTTTATATTACATTAAAACATTAACTTTACTGTATATTAAAATATATAACACTAAATATTTTAATATTATAAAAGTTGAAACAAAATTACTTGAAATGCTACTATTGAAATGACATGTTTTGACATTATCCAAATTGAATTTTTCAGAATTTTTTGTCTCATGGAAAATTTAAAAATTTCCAATTTTCATTCCAAACTGAAATTAACTTCTTTGAAATATTTCCCACAAAATGGAAATACTGGTTCTTATCCAACTCTAAAAAATAGGCACGTGAAACTTTATGCGATTGGATATCCTGCTTAATGCAATTACCTAGGTATCAATTTAAATTCATACTTATGTACAAACCCTTTTCTCTTTTATACACAACACCCAAAGTGCACTGGCACTTGCGGACCTAGTGTTAACATTGTATCCTGTTGATATAAATTGAGAGAGCCAATGCAAATAGATTTAAAAGGAAGAAAAGTCTTCAGTGAGGACTCTCACTTTTCTCTCTTGGGTTAACTGATGCACCAAGAGTCCCAGTGTAGTTTGGCTGGAGAATAGGGAATCTCCAAGCTGTTTCTAAAGAGATCAGAGTGCATTGGTAGTAGCTGACTTTTCAGAGCATTGCCAGGGATATTTGAGCAAAATCATGTCCCATGTATAGTGTGTGCATGTACAGCCATCGTAAGTACTTCAGTGTCAGAGTTAAGGAGAAAAATTGCTTATTCTGACTTAGGTTTGGGCTCTTATGTCTGTCTGTTCTCTTAATAGGTTGGCCTGTTCAGAAAATCAGGCGTTAAATCTAGGATCCTTTCTTTAAGGGAAATGAATGAAAATGACCCAAACAATGTAACGTATGAAGGGCAATCGGCGTTTGATGTGGCAGATATGGTAAAGCAGTATTTCCGAGATCTTCCTGAGCCTATATTCACTAGCAAGCTTTGTGAATCCTTCCTCCACATCTATCAGTGTATGTAATTTTTTAAAATTTTCTGAGTTTCGTGGACGTTTAGGCCGAAAGTAACCTCTGATTTTGTGTGCTCCATATTTTGAGAATCCAATGTTATGCTGCTGGGGGGGCGTGACTTTTCAGAAGTTCTGAGCATCTTTAAGCCCAGTTGAAGTCAATAGGAGCTGCAGGTGCTCAGCACTTCTCAAATAAAATCCAGCGTGTCTCAAAATGGGCTTCTAAAATCAATATGAAAATATTGGTCTCAGATTATATAACAAACAGTATTTTCCTCACTCTTGTGTGTGTTTTTTTTCTCTCTCTCTCTCTCTCTCTCTCTCTCTCTCTCTCCCTTTAACAATACTCTGTGGTTGGTGTTCTGACTTGATTTTTAAATGGTTGTTTCTGTGTATTAAATTAGGGCATAATCTGTTACTCTCACTGAGGAGCACCTGACTAGTCTTGTTCATTTCAATAAGACTGCACCTTGAGATCAGGTACTTCTTACCACAGGAACAGCAGTCATGCTATGGCATTTTCACTGGAAATACCAGCTGATTTCTAGTTGTTCTGTCAGCCTGTCTACATTGTCTGAAAGAAGAATAAACCATAAGGCAAACTACGTCATTTGCAATTGCTTTGAATTAGTTGTGTCTCCAGTAGTTTGTTTTAACTGAATTCATTTTTGAGATGCAGCAAGAACTTGTGATGTTGGTGCCTCAAGGTTTTTTAATGACCATCTTTTCTGTAACCTGGAAAAGGCATTTAAACTTTAAATAAGCCCAAACTTTCTAAAAAGATTAAATCTTGAGTTTTGTTGTATTACATGACTTTACTTTGACATGAGGAACATGCGTCTTGCTGCCTCGAGGCAGCGCCTTGACTATAGGAGTCCTAGTTGCTTGTTATTTCCTGTCTGTAGAATATGGAATAATATCCCAAATCTCTGGGTAAAGTGTGTTTGTTTGTTTTTTAAATTGAAAATAAAGATTTTAAATTAAAAAAAGCTATTTTTAAAGTAAACAGCTGTTCCTGTTTAGCCTACCCTGGCGTGCACTCTGCTTCTGGAGTAAGTATGGCTGAACAGGGAGTTATTCAGGAGTAACTGTCTTTGAATAACTCCAGGTGTAGACAAGCCCTTATCTGGATTTTAAATAGCCTTATTTCAGTTTTTTAAGTCTATCAGGAAGAGCTTTAAGACCAGCTGAAATAAGCCACTATGTAAACCTCTTGTGGAGGCTTAATTTAACTGGCTTTACTAAACTGGTGCAAATAGGTGTCTCGACACCTGGAATGGTGGCCTTTTAGCTCTTTGCCATCTCTGAGGACTGTCCTTTGATCCTGAGTAACGGGAGAACTGATGTATGGAGTTGATGCCCTATTTAGGGGATAGTCTGTTCATTCTTTTATTTAATGTTTTATCTTATCAAACCCTCTCATGAGTTTCCTAATTCTTCTATCTTCAGATTTGCCAAAGGATCAACAGTTTCATGCAGTCCAGGCTGCCATTCTTCTGCTCCCAGACGAAAATCGGGAAGCTCTGAAAATTCTACTCTTCTTTCTCCGAGATGTAGTTGCTTTTGTTGAGGAAAACCAGATGACTCCGACCAACATTGCAGTCTGTCTCGCGCCATCCTTGTTTCATCTCAATACTTTAAGGCGAGAGAGTTCATCATCATCTAGGTATCGTTGTCGTAACAGCTGAAGTGTTAAATAAGAGTTTTTCTGTGCCATGTTGACTGCATAAATAAAATGAGCCAAAATGTACCTTGCCTGTTCAAAAATCTGGAAGTGCTCCAGATTTGTCCCATATGTGACAGCTCAGTCCTTAGGGGAGATGAGACTACATCATGCTCCAGCTCTTCTGGCTCCCTGTCAAATACAAGATCAATTTTAAGGCCCCGTTCTTCAAAGCCCTAAGTAGTCTGGGCCCCAGTTATCTCAGGAATCCACCCCCCTCCCCAAGCATCATACACTAAGACAGCTCTACTCTTTGTGGATGCACAAAGTATTAGTTAACACGGGCCTGGCATAAGATTCTGAAGGTGGCAAGACGTATCATTTGCATTAGCTTAGCCTGATTCCACTACAAAAAACTCAGATTAGGTTTCTCCCAATATCTATGCCAAAAGAGACCGCAAAAAACCCATTCGGTGTGTGCCTTATGAAGAGAGGGGTCAGAATAGTCTCCCTGATAAAGTTTGCTTTTTATAATTCTGCTTGCACTCAGAGAACATGCAATAGAGATGGCTGTATTCCAGAGAAATGGGTAGGTAGAAAGCACTTATTTAAGTGGGCTTCCAAACTCCTGTTAGTATTTACATGTAAAAACCCAGCTGCAGATTCAAGCTCCTCCAGCTAGTGTCCAGCTCAGGTACTCATTCTTTTTGGTGATAAGGATGCCGGGGGACTGGGTGATTTTAATTTTAATAAGCAACAATATCCTAATTGTGTAACGTTTATCGGCAGTTCATACAGTGATGAAGGACCTTCTAGGCAGGGCTGGCTCCAGGTTTCCTGCCGCCCCAGGGGGCAAAAAAAAAAAAAAGCCGCACCGCTCCACTCTTCGGCGGCAATTCGGTGGCAGGTCCTTCACTCCGAGAGGGAGTGAGGGACCTGCCGCCGCATTGCTGAAGACCCGGACGTGCTGCCCCAATAGCAGCCGGAGTGCCGCCCCTTGGTATTGGCCGCCCCAAGCACCTGCTTCTTTAGCTGGTGCCTGGAGCCGGCCCTGCTTCTAGGTAGAATCAGTACAATAACCTCTGAGAATGCTCATTCAGGATCTAGTCTAGCCTCAATGCAAGGCCTTGTTTGTTTTCTATACAGTATGGCTGTGCTTGTGGATAAACTTGTTTTGAGGCAGGAAAGGGCTGTTTTCTTTTGACAAAAACATCATGCCCTTGTCAAAGCAGATGCTTCTTCATCTTATGCAATCTAATGATAAGGATATTACATTCCATTTAGGTGAGGAAGCATGTCACATGCATGGTATTTGTGCATTTCAGATTTAATGACACTCTCTGAGAAAAGTAAATAGAGATGAAAAATGTAAAGAATTTGCTTTTAAGAAGTGCAGAGCATCTCAAAATGCATATCTATCTATAAAACAAGTCCTGTGATGCTCAGCTTTTGCAGGGAAGAGCTAACACTGAAGCTGAAACAATGACAGCACTGCTGATCATAGTGAGAGAAGACTTGAGTGGAGCCAGGAATGTGGCAGAGTGATTGATAGCTTTTCAGTTGCAAATCCTGACCAGAATTAAGCAACCTGTAATGTTTGGGAGATTGAAATACTCCTAGTTTAGTAGTTTGTACCATTTGGATTGACTTTTAACTCTACATTGCAACAGCAAGGAGCCTAAAATCATTTTAGAAACAAGGGTGCTTTGAACCTTAAATTCAAATAATTAGTTGTTAATATTTTACCTTAGGATTCAGACTTCAAAGGGACATACTCTAAAAGGCTTGGCTCTAAGGAATAGTCAAGGGTCCTTATTGCTTGCACTTTTTAAAGTTGTTCAGTAGGAATGTTCCAAGATAAAGCTATTGTGAGTGAGTGTTTCTAGTGTCATATAAAGATTATGTCTGGAAAGACCTAAAATGCTGATAACACGAGTTAGCAAAACATAGCAATATGACAGCACTTTTTTGTGGATTGTGATTATTTTATAAAAAGTCTTTAGACAGTCTACATAGGTTGTTGATGTAACTAAACACTTAACTCAATGCTGAGCACATCAATGAGAGCTCATTAATTTCTTTGGCTAATCCTGTCTAATTACTGTTCGGTAAAAGACCATATTACTTGTAAAATTTTGGTAAGCCTCAGTAGCACTAGTGGTCCTTGGTATCTCAGCAGTTTGGTTCAAGGCTATCATTTCTATGCAAAAACAACGAGGAGTCCTTGTGGCACCTTAGAGACTAACATTTATTTGGGCGTAAGCTTTCCTGGGCTAGAGTCCACTTCATCAGATGTATGAAGTGAAAAATATAGGAGCAGGTATAAATACATGAAAGGATGGGGGGTGCTTTACCAAGTGTGAGGTCAGTCTAACAAGATAAATCAATTAATAGCAGGATACCAATTGATTTATCTCGTTAGACTGACCCCCATCCTTTCATGTATTTATACCTGCTCCTATATTTTTCACTTCATGCATCTGATGAAGTGGGCTCTAGCCCACGAAAGCTTATGCCCAAATAAATTTTTGTCTCTAAGGTGCCACAAGGACTCCTCATTGTTTTTGCTGATACAGACTAACATGGCTACCACTCTGAAACATTTTTATTCAGCTTACTATTCACAATTACTGTGGCTTTCACAATGTTGTCCATGTGAAAGTGATGACAGAAGACTTTGTCTAGTGAAGCTGTTTGTGTACAGAACTCATTGTAACACAGAAATTCAGACACCAGAGTAAATGAGAAAATTCCCTAGAGCTTCCAGGCTGATGATGATGATGATGTGTTTCACCTCTTACTTTTTTGATTTACTCTGTTGTGCCTTTGAAAAAATCCTTGTTAACCCTCTCTCTAGGTCCAGCCAGAGGAAGTACAGCCTGGGAAAACCAGACCAGAGAGATTTGAACGAAAATCTGGCAGCCACCCAAGGCCTGGCCCACATGATCATGGAGTGCAACAGACTCTTCCAGGTATGTCACTTCCTATAACACCCCCTATGTTACAACATTATGGAAAGTGTCCACCATGCTCATTAGAAAAGGGAATATGCCAGTAGGATGCTCCAGCCCTGAAACTTAAACTGGACATGCCTGCAAGTTCTTTGCTGCCTATTGGCAAGAGTAAATGTCCTCCTGTTGTTGCTTGAATACAGTTTAAAATAATCCAAACAACCCCTGAAGCAAACCCTGAAGATTTGTTTTTACTGAGGATGATGGTTTCCCTGAGCTAAGTTATGATTCACTATCCTGTTGCTCTTTCCTCTGCTTGCAATTCCTAATGCTTTAGTGTGGTATCTGCATCCTACTGACCTGAATACAGGGAGAATTCTGTTGCAGAGGTCATCGTATCTGCTGTACAGTACTTAGCAGGATCACATTTTGCCATCCATTTCCTTCTTCCTGTGATAAACCCAGTCCTCTGAGGCTCTGGATATATCTGTGTGCCTGGGAGGTGGGCCCGAGCCACAGAGGTTGAGGTGGGGTTTTGGTTTAGCCCCACTGTATTGAGAACTCAGAACCAGGATTCTTTTTAAGACCCAACTCTGAGTTTATTTAAAATGTCCCATTTCCGTGCAGTTGTTTTTTCCAGCTGGCTTGGCTTAGGACAGCATTTCTAAATGTATTACCAGTTAGAGATAGAAATAACCTGGCAACGCTTTCCCCACAGGCGTATGCCTCCAGGAATCCTCTATATCCAGCATTTGATTGACTGAGGTCGGGCATCTCTACAACCCTGAGCTGAGTGTAGCCTACGTGTAGGCAGTGGCCAGCCCCTTCTATCTGTGGGATGCAGGGCTCTAATGATAAGCGTGTAACAAAGGGAGCTCGCCATCTCAGAGTGATTTAAAACATCCTTCACGAGGGGAAATGTGCGTGTTCCCCCTCGCTGGGAGGCCTGGGGGAAGGCAGCTAATTGCATCCTCTCCTCCCTCATTTTTCCTCTTCCTGTGAAGATTGCTGTCAGTACTGCACAGCAGCCTCGCTGGCAGCTGGTTAGCTCCCTCCAGCAGGCTAACTGGCCTGCACCTGGGAGTCTGCAGTTATGCTGTTGAGGCAAGACCTGGATAAGGATCAAGAATCAGTCTGGCATCCAGGCACTTCTGCCACTCCCCTTGGCAGCATTCATATGTCTGTTAATTGGTGCCAGGCTGTCCCTTCCACCTTGGTGCTGAAATGGCCCCTTGGAAAAACTTCAGCTTCATGGAGGGCCAGAGGAGCTTTCCAAAATACCTTCACTGGCAAGGAGGGTGGGATGTTCCAATTCCTCCAGCCTCCTCCCTTGGCTTAGGCATACCACGTTCAGCGTTGGCCTGTATTTGAAGAGTGAGCACAGGAAAGAAATGGTGCAGCGTGGGGAGGGGGAATAGAAAAGGGATGGGGGGGGGGCGGGGGAGAGAAGGGAAGAAGCTGCAAAGAACGGGGTGGAAAAGAAGAGCCATCACCTCCTGCAACAGGCTCTGGTGCATAACATATATAAACGAAGGGACTAATGAAAGTTCAAGGTTTTATTCCCAGCTTTGCCACTGGCTGTGTCACATAGAAGTCGCGTAGGCCTGGGCTGGGGTAGCTACAGATGCAAACCCTCAATGTAGATGCACTCTGCCAGTGTCAGATGGGCCTTATCCTGATAAGCCCCACTCAAGCAAGCCCCTTTTTGCACTGGTGCAGGATGTGCCTGTGACAGGTTTGCAGTGGTGTCACTACCACTGAGGAGCCTATAATAGTTGTGTCTGTAAGGTGGGTATAATAGCTCCCTTGCTGAGAGACTTGGTCATTATTTGCAAAGCAGTTTGGGAGACTCAGATGGAAGGTGCTAGAGCAGGACACTAATGAAGTGTCATGTGTTGTTTGCTCTGGAGAAGACCTCTGTTCTTCCTCTGCAAGCATACCCACAACCCTCTGCACTCTTCCATTAACCATATGTTATCACAGCTTCTCCCAGACTGGCAAGACTCTCTCACTGGGGGAAAGCTCCCTTATCAGAGAAGAATTCTGAGCCCATTAAGTCTGTCTCTCATGGTGAAGGAGTTGGCTGTGCTTTTTAATGAGACTTTGGGGTGTATACTCTCCCTAGTAGGCAGGCCTGACCTCCTTCCTATGCAGCCAATGGCCCCCACAATAATCAGCATGATGGCTGGCTCCACAGCCTGGGCCGGCATAGAAAAAAAGATGTAAGCAGCTTCCCAGGCACGCTCTGTAAGGTCAGGCAAGTCGTGTACATGCAAAGGAGATCGTGTATCTCGTCTCCGATCAGTCATCTCTACCTTGTCCATAAGCCAGGAACCGCTGCTGAGAAATGGAAATTCCTGTCTGAACCTTACTCTATCTCTCAGTATGAGCCAGAAAATGCTGTAACCTCACTACCTGGAACATCTGAGGCTGTGGCTTTCATATGAAATTGATCTAGATAGCCAAACCCACGGAAGAGCAAGTCATGTGCCTTTACCTCAGTTGCTGTCTCTGCAGAATTAATATTAAAATCTACCTAGAGGTGTTGGTTTAATGAGTTTAGTTTTCAAACACATTTATAGGCAGAATACACTTTTAATGGGACTTAGTCATTTGATTTCCTGGCATAAGACGTTATAGTTAAAGCCTCAACGCTCCAATTAGGTAAGTAAATTTTCCAGTTGTACAGATGAGTGTGAAGCGACTAGCCCCACATTGCACACTGAAGTGGTGGAAGAGCCAGGAGTTAAATGTAGGAATCCCACTACAGTGCTCTAGCTGCTGAGAGAGGATGTCATTCCTTAAACTAGCTTTCTCATTTCTCAGGGCAGTGGTTTTTATTTTCACATCTAGTGCTATAAAATGTGTTGGGCTGCTCCTGATTGCTGATTGATCATTCACAGTCTCGCTGCATTAGCAAGTCCAGCTCTTTCAAGGAACGGTTTAGAATATTCATTGGCACTTGCTTTTGTGCTTGTAACTTTTACATGAAGAGTCTCCAATAGTGAGTTCACATTCACTTAAGGATCATTATCCTAGTAGATTTTTCTCCCAGTGTAAGAATAAATGTGATGGGACTGTGCTTAGAATCCAACATCCCCTCCCATTGCAGATGCCCGACTATTGCCTGGATCAGTGTTGTGATGACTTATGTGAACAGAATGGCCTGAGTGAAAAGGCTTCTAATCAGACCGCCTCAATGAGGCACTCCATGCTGGTTTCCCTTGAGAACTCCATGCAGGACTTGCTGCGAGATGCCAAGGAAAAGTTCAAGAGCTGGGTTACTTCTTCAAACTTGGAACGTGTGGAATTGGCAAATAAAAAGGTAAATCTGATGCTGGGGTGTTAGCAAAGATGGCAGTTAATAATCACGCACCTTTCTGAGCTTGTGGCTGCGCTGAAACTAGCTGTGTTTCTGCCTAACGTCAATTCAGCAACTGCTCCAGAGCCCTTTTGAGCTAGCGGCAACTCCCTGGTGCCTTTTATTTGTAGTCTATGTCTAGCATTAATCGAAGTTGAGCTGTCCATTTGTGACTTGCACACCCTCATCTACAGCATCCCATTATCGGGGCAAGATCTCTATCTTGTAGGAAGAAGTCAAGAGAGGGCCTTCATTGTAGATACCAGAAACATGAGTACTCATGATCCATGCTGACTGGGCAGTTTATTCATATTATAAAGCCCCCTTTACTACACTTAGGCTCCTAGAACCATTCTTCTGTAACAAACACCTTGTGAAAGGCTGTCTAGGTTTCTGCTGGAGGGAGGGAGTGGTGGAAGGGGGAACGAATCACTAAATCTACTCCTAGTAGACTACTAGTGTCCATTAACTGTCTTCTAAGGTGGAAGATAACTACCACGTCCGGTTATGGAAGGCATCCACTGAAATCAATGCCGCTCCTAAAGTAATCCTTCAACGCATACTGACAGAGCAGCATCTGTGGGACCCAAGTCTGCAGCAGGCTAAAATCCTAGAGACCTGGGATGATGAAACAGATGTTTATCACTATACAACAGAAAGCATGTCACCCCTCCTGCCGCGGGATTATGTGGTTTTGAGGTAAGGAACTGCTGTGACTTTTCTCATTGGTTTCCCAAACACAATTTATAGCCCAACTGTGGTGCGTGTTGCTTCCCAGCATTTCATGGTGGGTTGTTCCAGTTCCATGTCAATCAAAAAGGGGTGCAGTTCCCTATTTCCGGATCCCTACTGTGTAACTAACCTCCGATCTGATTGTCCATTACTGTGACACACTGTGTATTGCGGTAATGCCTAGAACCCTCAGCCCCATTTGCCAGGCAATGTGCCACATGTAACAATAACAGTCTTCCCCAAAGGGCTTACAGACTTGGTAGGAGGCTTACATTGATGAGATTCAGAAATTGTTGCCACATTCCTGCCTCCTTTCTTCTAAAAATTACAGCACAACTGCAAACATTTGTTGTTGTAGCTGTATTATCCCCCAGTGCAAAAATCCTTGATTTGCATCTGGGAAAAATGTAAATTGTAGCCCAGTATGACAATGAATAGATCCTGTTCTATCACTCTTTCTTCCTAAGAAGGTATAGGTGGGAGATGTCGATGGATTGATTGATTGATTGGGGGTTTTCCCAGATCTGCTCAGGTGATTTAGGCCCCTGGATCCACTTGAGCAGATTGTTGTGCTCATGTGCAATGTGGTGTCTTGTGGGGGCAGGAATCTGGTTGCAGCATTGGGACCCTTAGTGCTTGTCTACACTTAACAGTGTAGCCCCAGTGCAGCTGTAGCGCTTAGTGAAGATGCTACCTATGCTTTTCCTGTCGGCATACGTAATCCACCTCCCAGAGAGGCGGTAGTTACGTTGACAGGAGCCCTCCCATCAACATAGCGCTGTCTATACAGGGGGTTAGGTCAGTTATAACTATGTAGCTCAGAGGTGTGGATTTTCCAAACTGAGCAATGTAGTTATACTGACATAAGTGTGTAGTGTAGACAAGGGCTTAGTTAGCCCCTCCATATGTCTCTTCTATAAGGATTGTAAACTGTTCTGGGCAGGGGCTGTCTTTATTATGCATTTGAACAGTGCCTAGGACAAAGGAACCCTCATCCATGACCTGTAGGTGCTAGTGCAACACAAATAATAGGTTGTTTATGGCAGGATTTGTAAGCTTCCTCCATATGGATTGAGGCATGGAAAAGATTTTTATTCATGTCGTGCATTAACTGATTTGGTCTCTGCCCATCGGAATATTGCTTTACGCCACAGGCAGAACATCAGATTGTCCAGCCATGTAAAAACATCTGTGCGAAACATCCTAAAAATACCCTTCTTTGTTCTAGGACTTGGAGGACTGATCCCCAAAGTGGCACCTGTATTTTGGCAGCTACCTCAGTTGACAGTGAAGGAGCTACTCTGCATGGGATTTTGGCCCATGTCCTTTTGTGTCAGTATCTCCTAGAACCAGTTGGCTCCCAGAAATCCAAAGTGACTCACGTCTGCCGGACAGACACGAGGTATCATTTTAGTTTATGCTTCTTTACCTTAGCCCTATGGTGCTGCTGGGTCCTGAGCACAGCTTTCCAGCCACCAATATGTTCTGTCACATGTATTCTACAGTAACATAGAAGAAATTAACATAAAATAATACTTAGCACTCAAGTGGAGAGGGCACGAGACTGGAGTCTGGGTTAGATTCCTGGGTCTGCCACTAACTTGCTGGATGATCTAGGGCAAACCACTTAATCTCTCTTCCTTGTAAAAGTTCCCCCTTGTGAAATGAGGATAATGCTACTTCACCTGTGTAAAAACACTTTGAAGTCTTTGGATAAGAAGTGCCCATTGATTTCTTTTGTGTATCTGCAAAGATGTTTTTGCCAAGTGGGTTGTCTGAGTTTGTGCTCGCTGTAGAGAAGTATTCTGTCCCCCCAGAGTATCGACAACAAAGTTATTTTGGTATTGGGACAGATGGTATTTAAAATCCCACATAAACTTTTACTGAGATTTTTTTGACTATGAATTTTATATTAATTGCCTCAAACCCAGTGAGTACTAGAACTAGTCATCACACCCTGTCTGAAGCTGTCACACAGTGTTATTGTGTGCTGTTAGAGAGCTATTTATAATAGCTGCCCTATTTGTGGCTGCAATGATCTGTGTGAGTTTACGGGGAGAGAGGTAGAAAACGCCAAGCAACTGGTATGATCCAATGCTGACTAGCTAGAAGCTGGGAAAGATGATTGCTTCACATTCTCTGCTGGTGAAGCCGTTCTCGTGAGTGACGACAGGGGCTGCATGTTAGCTAGATTTCTAGAAACCAGGATGACTCTTGTTACTCTGTCTCCCTACAACAAACAAACAGGTACAAGTTAACCCCCAATATTCTAAAATCTTGGGGCACATGCAAAACCTTTGGTGAAATGGGAGCTTCAATCATGCACAGAGTAGTTATTCTGCAGGATATGCCTTGCTCCAGACCTGTAGAGGGGGACATAGCACACAGTTTAATCAAAGGCAGGCTAATGGGGTATTATGTGTAGAGGGATTTTTTTCTCCATGGTGTTTCAGAATAAATAAGCTGGTGGAAGAGAGTCAAGTCCTATGATGTTGGAGGAAAGTTAGATTTCACTCATACACAACATATTCTGCCCAAGAACAGTGAATTCTAGTAACCTCAATGCTGCCAAGAGATGTGACTTATTCTGTAAGGGATGGTCTTGCTGGGGAGATGGAAGGGTCAGCTTTAAATTGCATGTCTCAATTTTAAAAACATTTGAGGCACAGTGTTATACTGTAATCTCTCTTTTTCATGTGTGCTTTACCTCTGGGCATGACTCACCTCCTGTCTGAGCTCTGGAAAGCTCCCAGAAATGTGAGCCAACTTTGAGGACACTGTGAAATGTCCAATGGACTTGAATTGCTACATTTTGTTTCAATTAACCAAAACCCAAAGGGGTGAGAGTCCCAAGTAAAGTGGCACCACTTTGGCTAAAAAGTCTGCATCAAGCTGCGAAATAGTCACCAGTGTCACTGAACAGAAAAACAAGTGGGACTCTGTTGGGGAATGGCTGCAATGGCTCATTTGGAAGGTTTGATGGATGTGCCCCCAACACCCGTTGGGAAGAGATTTGCAGCAGTTAGCAAAATGTCATTAATCGCTAACACCAAGATGACCAGTCAAAAATTCTACTATAACCTAGGTGTGATAAGAAAATGAGCCTCTTCCACTGTTTCTCCACTGGAATTAGTGCATTTTTGCATTAAACCCTCCTCTTTCCCAGACCTAGCCAAACTATCTTACAGGGAGGAGTTGGCCTTTTGTATGTACACACCCACTGTGAGGGTGGGGGGCATATAGGCACTACTGCACTACTAATAATACATAAGTATGTATGTGCTTACAAATTAAGAAGGTAGTGGACAGAAAGAAAATGAATTGCTTAGTCCTGTTTAAATATCTTTTAAGGCAGGGGTCTCAAACTCAAATGACCACGAGGGCCACATGAGGACTAGTGCATTGAACCAAGGGCCGCATCACTGACACCCCCACTCGCTGCCTCTGGCCCTGCCCCCACGCCACCCTTTCCATTAGGTCCTGCCCCTGCCCCACCTCTTCCCTGCCCCATTCCAACCCCTTCCCCGAAGTCCCCACCCCAACACTGCCCCCAGGGGGTGCAGAAAGGGTGCAGGGTGCGGCAGGGGCTCAGGGCAGGTGGTGTGCAGGGTGCAGCAGGGGGCTCGGCAGAGCGTTGGTGGGTGGGGTGCAAGAGGGTGAGGGGTGTGACAGGTGGCTCAGGGCAGGGGGTTGGGGTGTGGGATGTGGCAGGGGGCTCAGGGCAGGGAGTTGGGGTGTGGGATGTGGCAGGGGGCTCAGGGCAGGGAGTTGGGGTGCAGGGTGCGAGCTCCAGCCCGGTGCTGCTTACCTAGAGCGGCTCCCTGTCTGCCTGCCCTGGCCCCCGGCCCCATCCCGCTCCGTTCCAGGAAGCAGCTGGAACCGTGTCCCTGCAGCTCCTGGGGGGGGGCCCTCAGGGTTCTGTGCATGCATGGCTCTTGCTGCTCCTCTAGGTACCTCCCACGAAACTCCCATTGGCCGCAGTTCCCTGTTCCTGGCCAATGGGCGCTGCGGGGGGTGGTGCCTGGAAGGAGGCAATGCAGGAGCCCTCTGCCTCCTTCCCCCTACCTCCCTCTCCCCCCCGCCCCCGGCCCGAAGGGGCGTGCTGCCAGCTGCTTCAGAGAGCGGCGTGGGGCTCGCAACGCCACAGGGGGCAATCCCATGGTTAGGCAGAGGGGTGGGGGGGGGGCGTGGGGAGCTTGGTGGGCCAGGCCGCCTGTTTGAGACCCCTATTTTAAGGGCTGCTAATATATCGACTTCTTGGTTTACAGGGGACGAACAACAGAATGGTACAACAGAGTTTTTGGTCATATGTGTGCTGCAGAACTGATGAGGATAAAAGACTCCTTCAAACCTCTCAGGAACGACACAAAGGAAATGAAAATCTAAAGCACCTGGTTCTAAACAGAGACTGGTGCGGAGGCATGAACTGCTCCTCTGCTATCATTTTAAAAGCTATAGACTCAATAGACTTGCCTATATTTTAAAACTAATAAACCAAGAAGTAATTTGTAATGGCATATAATGTAATGTAAAATAGTAATTTTATAAAGCTGCTTTTTTTTTCTTTTTCCAGTTTCAGGAAGCTGTTCTTGAACTGGCTGCACAGAGATAGCTAAAAGGTCAAATGTGTGTATGTATATATACGAAGTTATAAAATGCAATTGTTACATCTAGGAAGACAAAATATGCTGGTTCAAAATTATAGTTATAAAGTAAGTTATTAAACTAAAAATATGGTATTTTTCCAAATATGCATTAAGTATTTTATAAGATGTAGACTTTTATGCATTCTAGAGTATTATGTCTCTTGAATTTTCTTTTTATTGAATAAGGTGGTGGAGATGTGAAGTTAATTTTAACCTCTTTACAGTTGAAAATAGGGCTGAAAACCTATGCCTTTTACTAGAGGGAGCTAAATACTTTAGCATGTGCTGTTAACTCTCTTGATACTTCTTTTTTACATAATAAAAAACCAAATCTGGTGGGGGTGGTTGTTTTAATGTTATGGGTAGAGTTCCTGCATTTGAGAATGTTGCCTACTTTCACCATGGTGAAGCTTTAGGAATACATTTCAATTGTTAAATAACGGCCATAAGTCAACCTAACCAAGCTAAATTCTAAGCAGAAATTATGTGAATGGACTGTCAAAAACCAGTTTCTGCATGTAACCTGCAACTTAAGTCACTTGAGCTCAATCATAGGCATTGTGCTTGTCTTCTGAAATACAGTCATGGTTAAACATTCCTTATGTATCTTTAATAAGCTACTCATCATGAAAACCAAAAAGTGTGTGTACACAGATAATTAAGGTGCTACTCCTAGGGGTAAATGTTTTATACAGCTGTGTGTGTGTGTGTGGGGGGGGGGGTGTTCTTGTAAAACTAACTTGTCCTTGATTTATGATGTCTTGGAACTCATTCATAGTCGCAGGTGTGATTTAGAGTTGCTTAGGTGTATGCCATGCAAAGTAGCAATGTTACATCCTTACACTGATGGTGGTGTGAGTGTTATCAGTGTCTTACCAACAGCGAGTAGAAGTTCTGAACAGTGTATCACCAATAGATTTCTTAGTGCTATATAAGAGCTGGGATATCTGGACAGTAGGTACAGAAGTCAGTAGCTCTGAGCTAGTGTGGTTGAACATAACTAGAGCGGTAAAGCACAGGTAGGAACTGAAGAGACAGTCAAATGAAAGAGAGTTCCACTCAATTACATCACATAGTGACTGACAGCTAAAAAGTGACTGTTTGTATCCAAATGCTGTAAGTGTAAGTACTAAGAGAAGTGTCTGGTATTGAATGAGGATAGTGATATAATAGACATCACAGAAACTTGGTGGAAGGATGACAATCAATGGGACACAGTAATACGAAGGTACAAAATATCTAGGAATGAGAGATGAGATAGAGCTGATGGATGGGGGCCTACTGGTGGTACATGTGCAAGAAAGAATAAGGGCAAATACAATAAAAATCTTAAATGAATCAAATTGTAACAGACTTTCTATGGCTAAAAATTCTATGCTTCAATAATAAAATATTCCTACTGCTATATTCTTACCTCCTACCTGTCCAAGATGGTGATTGTGAAAGGGTTTGGGAGAAAGATTAATAATGGAAGATTTTAACTATCCCCAATTTGACTGGGTACAGGTCACCTCAGGCTGGGAAGCAAAGACAATAATTTGTGGTGTCAAAAAACTGCTTCCTTGAGCAGCTAGTTCTTGAGCAAAAGGGGAGAAGCAAATGTTGATTTAGTCCTAAATTGAGCATGTTTGGCAAAGAGGTGAATATAGCTGAAAGACTTGCTGATAGCAACCATAATATAAATTTAACAACATAGGGGGAGGGTAGGAGGGGACACACAGAAGCCCACTGTAGTAGCATTTAACTTTAGAAAAGGGAATTACATAAAAAAAAAGAAAAAAAAAAAAGAAGCAAGATAAAAAAAAAAAAAAAGGAAAAGAAAAAAAAAAGAAAAAAAAGAAAAAAAAAAAAAACCCATTAAAAATTGGAAGTCAAATCCTACTGAGGAGAAAAGACAGGAACATAAACTCTGGCAAGTCAAAAGAAGAAATTGAAGAACAAGACACAAAGCAAAAATAAGTTTGAGAACAGCAGAATCAGGAATGTTGGAGGACCAAGGTGTTAAATGAGCACTCACGCAAGAGCAGGCTATTGTCAAGAAGCCAAGTGAATTCTTTGACTCAGCCTTTACTGCAGAGGATGTGAGCTACTGTATTAGTTTTAGGTGACAATGCAAACTGTCCCAGATTGAGGTGGCAATAGAGGAGGTTTATGGAACAAAGTGATAAATTAAACAGTAATCAGTCAGCAAAAGGCATTCAGCAAAGAGTTGTGAAGGAACTCAAATAGGAAAGTGCTATGGGTAATATGTAACCTACTTCAATCAACTTCTGTACTAGCTGACTAGAGGCTAGCTAATGTGACACCCATTTTTTTTTTTAAAGGCTGCAGTGGTGATCCAGGCAACTACAGGCTTGTAAGACTAAGTTTAGTACGAGGCAAACTGAGTGAAACTATAGTAAAGAACAGAATTAGCAGACACAAAGATAAACACAAGATGTTACAGAAGAGTCAACAGGGCTTTTGTAACAGGAAATCATACCTCCCCAATCTACTGAAATTCTTTGAGGGTAAGCCAGTTGATAAAATACTTGAGCAAGGTCCTTTACCAAAAAAATCGTAAGAGAGTCATGGGATAAGAGGGAAGGGCCCCTCGTGGATCAGTAACAGGTTAAAACACAGAACCAAAGGGTAGGAATAAATGGCTAATTTTCAGAAGGGAGCAAGGTAAAGAATGGTGTGCCCCACGGATCCGTATGGGGACCATTCCAACATGAACAATGAGGTGGCAGTGAAGCAGTACAAAGGGTTCTTACTGATCTCCACAACAAAAATGGAAGATGAAATTCAAAGTAATGCACATTGGGAAACATAAGCCCATCTACACATACAACATTAGCTGTTACCACTCAAGAAAAAGACCTTGGATGGATTGGTCACTGTTAGCTGTTTTCAATGTTAGGCATCATGAGGCAAGGAATAGATAATACCACTATATCAATTTATGGCATGCCCACATCTTGAATACTGCATGCAGGGTTGGTCACCCCATTGCAAAGAAAGAGACAGGTACAGAGCAAGGCAACAAAAACAATTAGGGGTATGGAACAGCTTCCTAGGAGGAGAGGTTAAAAAGAGTGGGACTGTTCAGTATAGAAAACAGACAGCTACAAGGCACATATGATAAAGATCTATGAAACCATGAATGGTGTGGCAAAAGGGAAGTGTTCCTTCATATAACACAAAAACCAGGGGGCCTTCAATGAAATTAATAGGCAGCAGGTTTAAAACAAAGAAAAGCAAGTTATTCGTCCCATGACTCAGCATCAACCTATGGAACTTATGTTGTGATGGCCAAAACAATGCTAACAGGGTTCAAAGGAAGAATAAGCTACGTTCATGGAGAATAGGTCCATCAGTGGCATGTTCCCTAGCCTCTTTTTGCCACAAGCTGAGTGTTCGAGATGGATCACTCAATGCTTGCTTGTTCTATTCAGTCCCTCTGAAGCACTGGGCACTGGCAGAAGACAGGCTGCTGGGGTCGCTGGACCACTGGGCTGACCCAGTATAGCCGTTCTTAGGTATTATGGAGCGAGAGCGCATGTTAGCAGACTTACCAGCACCCACAATAATGCTACTTTACCATTTTGCTCTTAAACCCCACTGAAAACTAGACGCTAGGCCCCACATGCTCATAGTAATGCTGCCAGATTAACTTTATTGCAGCACTGGAAATATAGGTGGTGACAAGTTTTCCTGAGCTGGCGATTAAAAATGTAAAAGCTCTGCTAACAAGTCACACAGCTAAACCTGGAGCCAGGCTTGGAGATAATTTTGCACTACTTTGGGTCTCAATCTACCTCCAGTACACTGCATCCTATTCTAAATGCTAATGCAGCTTTTAAAAAAATACTAAGCAACCCGGACATCTTAAGTACTTAAACATTTAGATGTGAGCACAAACAATGACAATGCATGTGAAAATATAGCAATATATGGTCAGGGATGCTATACTGAATTTTGTAACAGGTACAGCAAGTGATTTTAAAAAAATTGCTCTGTAATATGTAAGCTTTAGAAAGTCCAGTGTACCATGCTTACAATGAAAAGTGAGAGAGGTTAGTATTGTGCAATAGCAGCTAATGATTTTAAATGCCCTGAGAGGAAACTTTTTGTTTGGCTGGATGTATGCTATGCTGCAGTATAAGCAGGTGCTTTATTTAATCTATTTCTAGTTTACAATAGTTAAAAAAAAAACAAGCCTTAGACATCAGTGGCACAGCTGCAGATGCAGAACATAGATGTGCCAACTGCTAATAATTTATGGAGGCTTTGCCACATCCCTGTACCCTACATAAGTATTAGAAACAGTGTTTTAACTGTCTTCTTTCTAGGTGCTGATAAGTGAGAATAAGACAAGCGATGGGTGAAACTACTTAAGCTCGATCGTACTAGATACAAAACAGGCACCGCTTCAACTGAACTTAAAATAAGCTAAATCTTTGTCTCCCCTGTGGTTCTTTGTAGCTCATGATATTAAAAGTGTGATTTAATTGTAGTTGATAAAATAAGAATATTTGGTCAGGCCTTTTTTCTGTGAGAATAATATAAATAAAAACTAAATATTTCCCATCATACTGTTTAAATATGAATATATAGTAAATGAAACTGACTTCACGTACTATGGCTCTTTGTCTCCTGCACTCCTGGTGATCTGAGTATCACTGATCTAACTGGTGTGTCTACAACTGCATCTTTCAAAAGAATTAAGCTTAAGCTATTGAAAAACACTTAAATGAGGCTATGCAACGTAGTGTGCACAGGGCAGCCTTGGGTACTATAGCTTTATATATTTTGAAAGTCTGGAATGTTAATATGCATAAGAATTTAACCACTTTCCTCAGATTTGTATTTACTCAGTTTTGTTCCTTTTCTGTAAATACTTTTGGTTGCAATACTCAGATTGTAATAGCTTGGACAAAGCACCTCTAATAAAGGTGCAGCCCTCAAACTCTTGTCAGCTCTGTTCTCTCTCTTTGTCTCTCTTCCAGGTTACACTATTGATGCATTCTTGACCTTGTTTTTTATGTACCTATTCAGCGTGCGATATATAAATTCAGGCACCTGTGTGTAAGAGTTTCATATCCTTTAAAACATCACACTGACAATATGCCACCCACATACAGGGCAGCATACACAAGTTCAATCCACGCAATGTTAGCACTTTTTTATTTTTAAAGTAGGTTTTGAATAAGACTCCTATGACAGCTAAGAAAACTAGTTTAGTAAAATACAAGAGGTCCAAGTGCAGAAGTAGTTACATCTTCTGGACTGGTTTGATGCCCAGGATGTCAAACCCTTTGGCCATGACGGCAGCTGTTGCTTCACACAGCAACATTCTCCACATGTTCACCTTCACTATCGTTCCTGAAGAAGAAAGAAAAATAGTGCAAGCTTGAATGAGATGGTCAGGAAGCTTCACAAATCAGACATTACAGTCACAGCATTTGTGCTGTTTCCATGATGTAGTACAGTTAGAATTATGTAGCTTCCATTACACTAAAAGGGATTGGTAAAAATGCACTATTTAATACACCCAGGAGGTACAGCAAGTAGCATTTTTCACGAGAGATGATCACTAATGCCCACTTTCTTCTCTACTTGAGAAAGTTTTGTTACGTGTGCTAGCACTTGGAAAACTAAACTTATTCTGAGCACTTGTAGGTTGCTTTTATATATATGATGAATTTCTTTTTTAAATATAAATGG